CACCATCATAAATTCTCCCCCCCACCAACTGGAATTTTCAAACTTTTTTTATTATTATTATCGAATTCTATTTTTTGTTTAGTTGCAAGTATAGATATGAGTTTGTAAGACTTAAGGTCAAAATCTTACAAATTTTTCCATATCTTATATGGAAAAAAAGGACTGAAATTATCTTATTGGTCTTTTTCCCAGGTCCCCTCACAACCTGCACTCTGAGCCACTGGAGATTTTGATGGGAAATAGCTGGAAGGGAGGCAGCTGGGGAGAATGTGCTGGAAGTATGCAATGGGGGAGCAGAATTAAAACCTACCAGAGCAAAACAGCCAAGCTGTCTTCTTAATGTCTCCCCACCTCCCTACCTTCTCTCAAGTGAGGCCTCTTCTTAAATGTACAGAAGTATAATTAAAAGGAATTGCTTTGAACAGCCAGGGAGTATTATTGTAAAAAAGTAAAAGTGTTCCAAAATGAAGAAAGATCATACCTAAGATCAGTGCATTGAAAGTCATGAAGAAACCTCGCTACTCTGGGCATATTCATTTTAAATGTTATTAATAATTTGAAATGTATTACAACCATCAGCAACTTGGTGTGAAGCTTGAAGAATATAGAGATATCTGTAATACTGTGAAAATGTTACAAAAAGTGAAAGTGAACATTTTGAGGAGGAATTCTCAAATATTCAATGTTCAGATTTTTAATGGGGTTGTTGATAACCTTGTTACCTACTAGAGTTCTGACTATAAAATGCATTTAACTTCTTGGCAATAGTCAAATGAGTGACAGCCAGAGATGGCATACCCAGTGTACTTGATAAAATGCTATTTATTTAAAGTATTAGAGTGGCCATTATGCTCAAGTACAAAGTTCTCCTCTCAATAAATTTAGTCTAGGAAAAATAAAATGTTTTAGGCTGTTTTTAAGTTTCAGTAGAACACCGTGTACTCTCAGAGCTTTATTTAAGACAGTGTCAAATGTAAAAGCTGGTTTTGACATATTCACTCGTAAACAGAAATAAGTTTTCAGGTTGTTTCTGTGATTATTCTCCATTACTGCATACTTATTGGTAAGGATATGGTGACTTTATAAACTCTTGAAACCTTCAGCCATTTCAGAAGTTTCTGTTGAGTATATACGGTCAGTTTGGTGTGTGTATATGTGTGTGTTATTCAAAGAATTGAAAATGAAGAAGAATTCAAGTCTTTGCATTATTGCTGCTTACCTGGCATCAGAGGTAAGATTTTAATCCTGTCTCAGTGCCCTGTATGAACTTGGACACCTTCTTGAACCTCTCCAAGAACTCTTTTTCCTGATCTGGAAATAGGGGCCATAATTATCTAACTTGCAGAATGGTTGTAAGGATTCGGTAAATAATGTACTAAAGTTGGTAGGAAAAATAATTTCTTTTGTGATAAAAACAAATATTATTGTCTATTTCCTTTTGAAAAACACATGATCTAAACATAGAAATATGTTTAAACAATATAATCCAATGTCGAGAAAGCACAACATTTATATTTATAGGAAGCATAGAATTTATTAGCGAGAAAGAATTGTAGAAATTATAAGGTTCAGTGACTTCCTAGCATTTGTTTGGCTTATGACCACTTTGAGAACGTGAGAGTTATGATCCTTCTTGCCCCCAAATGCCTCTCTACACAGAAATTAGCATATAATTTTAAGGATACACCCTAAAACCTATTCCTAATCCCTAAATCCCTTGGGTCGAGAATTCTCAATTTAATTCACCACTTTGAATCTAAAGATGGAAAAATTAAGGAATATAAGTGAAATAAAGTGATATGCTCTTGAGAATTAAAAATTATTTTGAGAACTCTTTTTTTTTTTTTTTTTAATTATATTTACCTGACCGAGAGAGACACAGCAAGAGAGGGAACACAAGTAGGGGGAGTGAGAGAGGGAGAAGCAGGCTTCCCGCTGAGCAGGGAGCCAGACACGGGGCTCGATCCCAGGACCCTGGGATCATGACCTGAGCCAAAGGCAGACACCCAACGACGGAGCCACCCAGGCAACCTGAGAACTCTTTTACAAAGAAGTCGTTCTCTAACACTTTAAGGATACAGCCTTCATCAGTTTTTTTGAGCATTATTCTCAGACTGCAGCTGCATTTCATTTGTGGACTTGCTGACTAGTCCACCTTTGGTGCATGTTAGTGACAAGAGCTCTTTGCAGTCGCACACAAAGGTAATTGAAATAATTTGGGTACTGATTTTACTTTTAACACATTTTTTCCCAAAAAATTGTGTTCTTGCATTGTCAGTAAACATTCATTAGGTACCTGTGATATTGAGAGCACAAGATAATGAGACCCAGTTTCTGACTTTGATTTGGGCACAGTCGAGTAACAGGCTCATAAGCCCATAAGAGGGGAGCTCAGAGAGAGGAGCAACTCATTCAGCCCCAGAACTTTGAGAAGGTCCCACATTTAAGGTAACATTCAAGTTGTATCTTCAATGATGTGTAGGAGTTTTCTAGGCAGAGAATCCAAATATCTTAACTCCCTGTATGTGCAGATTTTGCAATGCTTATCTTTTTAGTTTAGAATAATTAATACATATATGGAAATTAGTCCTAAAACATATGGAATGTCCCACTGAAGACCCATTCCCTAGTTTCATCAACCATGCACCCTCATTTCCTGAGCCACGCAGTCTCCAAACCTCAGGGTCATTCTCCTCTATGGCCTGCAATTTCTAGTTACTCACAAGGGCTTGCAAATTCTTTCTTCAGAGCATCCCTGCACCTTCCTATTCTGTTCCCACTACCATCTTCCCATAGTTCTCTATTTTACTAGACCTGATCCAGGTTGCACAACCTCACCAGTCCTTTTTTCTACACAACCCCAAATACATTTTCCTAAAATTAATTTAATCTGAAGCCTTGCAAAGAAACACTTGCTCTAAGTTATACATAGGACTTGGTTATCTAGTATACTTATTATCTTACTTAAAGCCTGCCACAATCTGACCTCAGGCTCATCACCCATTATTCTCCAGCACATTTGTACTCCAGCCAGGCAAGGGCAGGGCAGAGATGGTAAGAGCCCACATTAAGCTCAGGTCTCACCTTCTCCACTTGCTAGCTGTTGCACTTGATCTCTCCAAGCTTGTTTCCTTATCTGTAAGTTATATGGACAAATAACCAAGCAACTGAAAGCTGTTGGGGAAATTAGTGTGATGATGCATGGAAAGTGCCTGGGGCTCTGCCTGACACATTAATTGGCTCTCAGTAAATGGTAACATTTGTAATCATCATCATCATCCCTTTCCTCTGAAGTGCAGTACGTCTCTGTCACACAGTCGTTTCTAAAAACCCATCCTCTACTTACCCAGGTCATTTGTTATTCCTTTATGACTTGCTTCAGGTCCTACTTACCTTCCTGCTGATTCCTTCCTCCAAACCCACCTTCTCTCACCTCTCCTACATTACTGCTGTGTTTGCTCTACAGTGTTTCCAAACTTTTCTTAAGGATCTTGTGTTTCTCACCAGACTTTAGTAGTTAGAGCTGCCCCAAAATGGAGTAGACTGTCTTGCAAAGTCATGAGCCTCCTTGACCTCACTCTCTTTTGAGGATGTTGAAGTGATCATGAAACAGATGGAAGATTGGATAGTTGACATCTAAGGATCCTTTCAGTAGTGATTTTTGGAGTCTGAGTTGTTTAAGATCAGGGGCATGGCTTATACCTCCTCCTACTTCTCACAGCTAAGAACATTGTAGGCACACTCAGTTACGTGGTGTTTGGCAAATTGGTTTTCTGCTCTTGATCCCTGTCGCAGACAAGCAGTGGCTTTTCTTCCTGCAGGGAAGTTTGGGAGGATGAGTGCTGGGTTGGGGGATGGAAACCCCCGTGTTTATCACACTGTGACCTATAGTAAACTTCTAGTAAATGTTTAATGAACAAGCACCAGCCATAAGCAATGTTTCACTGCATCATTGTATATATTCCTTGGAAACAAGCGAATGAAAGAGTAGCCTCCAAATTTAAGGCTGAAGTTTTAGGAAGAAGTTGAAGGAAAAGGTCCATTGCCAAAAAACAAAACTCCTTAGGTTCCACAGAAAAAGCTCTTTTTCTGAAAATTTTATTTCCCTTCCTTACAACCTCCTTCCTGGGACAAAGAGAGGGTCCATGAATATAAGAGTTTATCTTCAGTGTTTATCTTCAGTGTCCCTTTTGGAAACTCTGTTCTTCACATTCAGTTTTGAAACGGTTTCATTACACAGGACACCTCTAATGTCTGCCAGTTTGTTGTATCTCTAAAATCAGCTGCTTTTCCTTCTCTGTTGCTGAATTTCAGGTAGCTGCGCTTAATCTCATTGTGGCCTGGCCTTTTTATACCAGTTTGCCTTGATGCTGAAAGAACCTTCAGCTTTAAAGAATGCCTCCCCACCCCTCTCCAGATAGAGGAGAGAGGGTGACATAATGGTGGATAGGGAAGGAGGGGAGGAAATCAGTTCATCGAAGACTGTCAGAGTGTTTTAAGTGACTTTTTACTTCTTGAATTTAAGATCAACATAAACTATGTAGACATTTCAGGCTGAGAATTTAAATAGCAACAAAAAAGAATGGTTTTTGCTAATGTCAGGAATGACTCATCTGGTAAGAATGGTATTGTATTGGTAATACAATACAGAGAGAAGGAAAAGACTGTGGTATCTTCTCTCTTTGTGTTTCTGACCTTGAGGAGAATTATAACTTGTTTGTTGCAGAAGTTGAGCATCTAATGTGCTGATGCATCTGTTAGTTCTTATATATTAAATGGCACAGCACTTGCAGTTCCCCGTGATTGCTTTGTGGGTGAAATATTTTCTGCAATCTGATGAACTGTTTTTTTTTAAAGAATGTATTTATTTGTATTGTTTGCATCTCTGATTTCTCAAAAATATGCTTTCTTTTCTATTTCAACACCCTGGTCTCCTCATTGCAAATATGTTTGGCTTTTTATTTTCAAGGTAACATTATTATGATTTCTTTTTAACATAGAGACCATGAACCAGGCACCTCCTGCTAGAAAGCTGGAAGAGGTTCTTCATCTAGCAGAGCTCTGCATAGAAGTCTTACAGCAGAATGAAGAGCACCATGCAGAGGTGATGACTTGCTTTAACTGTCCTATAAAGCTCCATATAATGCTTTGCCATAGTGGGAACAGCACTGAAGAAGGGGCCTGCCCATATACTTTGATATACATCTGGCCATTTACCTATAAAAACCTGAGAACATATGTGCATTTCCTGGATATGCAATTACTATATGTTACAAAGGGGTTGTCTATGTATATGATTTATTATCTATTCCTGACAACAGTCACGGAACATGGGAGAGCTTATGGGATCTGCCAAAGATGTACAAGTAGTAAGAAGCAAAGCTGGAGCACAAACCCCATCTCATGATGCCAGATTGCTTGCTTCTCCTCCCCATGCCATGACTGCTTTAGTTTAGAAATGTAAATTAATCAGTGTACAAAAGGAAAAGTTGCGATCAACTATAACAAAATCAAAAAGAAGACATTCATAACTGTATGACTGAGAACTAGTCTTTTATTCTTATCATCAAACGCTTCTTTAAATTTTCAGTAAGCCTGCATTGTTTATAGTTTTCTGAAGTTTTAATTATATATTAGCATTCACCCTATAGAGTAGTATTTCACCAGGCCAACTGCTTATTCTAAGACTTAAAAGTCTTTCTAGTAGTCTTTCTAAAACTCCTTCTTTCTTTCTTTTTTTTTTTTTGAAGATTTTATTTATTTATTTGACAGAGGGAGACACAGTGAGAGAGGGAACACAAGCAGGGGGAGTGGGAGAGGGAGAAGCAGGCTTCCTGCTGAGCAGGGAGCCCGATGCAGGGCTCCATCCCAGGACCCTGAGCTGAAGGCAGACGCTTAACAACTGAGCCACCCAGGCGCCCCATCTAAAACTCTTTTAATAGTCATGAGTTTATTAAAAAAAAAAAAAAAAAAAAGTTTTAGGACTTTGGTAGGGAGTGCTTGCTTCGGCAGCACAATACGCTAGAATTGGAATGAATTGGGTGGGGAAAATATATGGAATTAAGTAAATATAACAAATTTCAGTGCTCTAACAGTACTTTTTTTCCTGAAGAGGCGCATGAAATGGGCAAGGATTTTTTTGACAGCCCAGATACGTAAGAATTTATAGAATATTTATTTGTAATGAAGCCAAGTTCTCAAAAATATAAGGAACTATAGGAAGTACATTGTAAGCAAATTCTTAAAAAAGAGTATTCATGAAGTCTTACTATAGGTAACTAAGATTTATTGTATCTAGTTATAAATATGCTCATTCAAAACATCTGCTTTTAGCTCACACTATGGAATCTAGTTTTTACCTTGCATCTGTCATGTGTGAACTTGTTATGGATATTGTATTTTAAACCGAAGAAACAGCTGCTTCAGTAATTTGAAATGAATCCCCAGGAGGATGTTTTCTAGGCTGGTACTACTGCTGTGTTATGATGAAAACGATCACATGATAAAATATATGTATGTGTTGTCTTTGTCTTTTGTTAAAAGGCATTATCATCAGAGTATTAGATCTTTTTAATTAAAAGCTATTTCTGATTGGATATTCAATTGCAGTATATTTCACCTAAACAGGTACACCTAATATTCCCATACATTTCACAGAAATACTATCTAATTTTCCTGCCCTCATAAGGAAAATAATTACTTTCCTGTCTTTTAAATACAATTATTAAATGTTGTCTATTCCATGCAGTCACTAAATGCTTATTAAAGATAATGTATCCAAACACAATTAAAATGTAAATAATATTTTCTAATCCACAAAAATATGGTTGACTTTATTGAACAGATAATCATAACTCATAAATATCATTCTACTATATGCTGAAATATAGAACCAGTAAAATGACCTCTTTTAAAAATGCTTTGTAACACTATGGCATTTTCCATCCCCCAATGCTTCCAAATTCTTGGAATCCATCAGGGAAGAGAGGTGAGTAAAATTGTTTCCACTATTTTTCTAGCATGGAATAACTCTCTTAGTGAAGGTAAGATAGAACCCGCTTTGATTATAGTTAATTTTAAAGCCAACCTAGTTCTCCTTCCAATTAAAGACTATTTCTTGGAATGGGCTTACAGTTGTAGTGTTTTGATAAATGTGTCTTATTAATAATTGCATGCACAATTAAGGCCAGCTGAAAGGATTTTGATAATTCGGTTTTATCTCCCTTTTTTTTTTTGCCTTTTTCTTTTTTTAACATTTTTGTCTTATTTTTTAAGTGATCTCTACACCCAAACTTACAACCCCGAGATCAAGAGTCACATGCTGTACTGACTGAGCCAGCCACATGCCCTGCCCTTTTCTTTTTTTAATCAGAAGATCCAACGTTTTCTCTGAACAATACTGGGGAGTGAATTGGTCTGATTCTAAAGTCGTTTCCAGAGTGAATTAGGAGACTGAACTCTTCACTGATCTTTATTCTGCTGGATGTTCAAGCTGGGGTCTCTGTACTCCATGAGCAAGTACCTGGCTCGGCTCCCTTGGTGGAGGTCAATGCGTCTGCCTCCCAGAGCCCTCCCTTTGGCTCCTGTGCAGGCTTCTTTTATTCTCATTCTACCTTTCTCACAGTGGCAGTTTACTCTCAGGGCTAAGAGGTTGTTTTGATCTTTAGCAATTTCCCAATCAAGTAGGTTTGTGTCCTTCACATTTTTTTTTTTTTAAGATTTTTTATTTATTTATTTGAGACAGAGAGAATGAGATACAGAGAGCATGAGAGGGAGGAGGGTCAGAGGGAGAAGCAGACTCCCTGCCGAGCAGGGAGCCCGATGCGGGACTCGATCCCGGAACTCCAGGATCAAGACCTGAGCCGAAGGCAGTCGCTTAACCAACTGAGCCACCCAGGCGCCCCTGTCCTTCACATTTTTGACAGTGACTGGCTTACAAGACAGTGCTCCCTTCTCTATGATGGCCTCTCAACCTCTTCTCTCAGGCTTTTTTCTGATTTGTTTTCTCTTTTAAAAAGATAGCTTTAAGATCCTTTCCAGAAAATCCTTAAGGCTGTCTCCACATTCCAGACTACACTCTGCCTGACCAGAAACTTAGGCAAACCGATCTTTGTACTGTCCATCCAAAGCCCCTCACTTTGACAATGGCGGGACGTCCCAGATGCTGATGAGAAAGCCTTGGGCTCTCACCAACACAACGTCTCCACATAACACCATTTGACTGATAAGAAAACTGATAAGGTCCCAGAAAGGTTGAGCAACTTTCCACACGTGCACAGGTGGTAAGTGACAGGACTCCAGACCTGGGCGTTTTGCAGTGAACCACATTGTTATTTCTCTTTCAATAGAGGGGTGCAGTGGTTGTCTGACCCTGGTTCTGCTGCCAAGTTTCATACCGGGCATCATAGCAGGGATGTAAACGCAGAGGTGATGATTATGGTGCAATCCTGGAGATGTCCCTTTCCATTCATTCTCTTCCTTTCCTTGCTGACTGGTATATCCTAGGACCCTGCCTAAGGGGATGGGGTCCTGAAAATATCAGGAGAGGGGCCAAGGGAAGAAACAGGATCAACACAAACACAGCTCAAGTTGCTACTTTGTTGGGTATTATTACAGCAGAGTCTTGATTTAAGGTCCCTAAAATAGTCTAAATGTAATATTGTCCACCATGTCGGTGACAGTGTAAGCAAAAAGGATGTTTGGCAGTAATTTGGTATTTGCAGCATAGACCGCTCTCAGTTCACTGCACAAAGCTGATTCATCTATCACTTCAGCTGCCTGTGCCTCAGGCTCCTCCAGCAACAGAGGCAGGACAGGAAAGGAGTTCAGTGTGGGCACACATATTTGCACATATGCTCACACACATGAACATCAGTATCTGAACCAAATTATGTTTCTGGATGGATTCTAACATGAAGAGAAAGGGTATTTGATATTTTTTCCCATTTGTTTTGCTTTTGCTTCTTTGTGACCTTGCTCTTTTCACTAGCGTGCACATCTAAAGAACATCTTAAAGTCTGGTTATTCGTTCATGAACAAGATCTGTTTACTACCTACTACTAAATTACAGTAATCTCAACAATTGGATTGTATTAATTACATAGCATTTGTATCTGGATAGCCAGTGAGATAAACCAACATTTTTTTTTTAAAGATTTTATTTATTTATTTGAGAGAGAGAATGAGAGAAACAGAGAGCACATGAGAGGGGGGAGGGTCAGAGGGAGAAGCAGGCTCCCTGCTGAGCAGGGAGCCCGATGCGGGACTCGATCCTGGGACTCCAGGATCATGACCTGAGCCGAAGGCAGTCGCTTAACCAACTGAGCCACCAAGGCGCCCTAAACCAACATTTTTTAGGGTGGTTTTAGGTTTAGGGTTAGATTAGCCTCTGGTCCAACAAATGTCCCTCATTATGGAAGAAGATGATCAGCAAGTGGTTTAGAGATGGCAGAGTTACAGAGGCAAAATTCCATTGGCAGCAGTGACTCTCAAATGAACTTCCATGGGCATAAGTATCCTACCAAAAATGTTTGTTAATTATTTTGTAATTTTTAATACTATATGTATAATATATACAATAATATATAACAATAAGAGTAGTATTTTACCCTGACATATGCTTTGAAGTATTTTCAGTTTATCATCACACTCGGTTACTTCAATATTTATATTCATGTATGAACCCAACTAGGGAGAGATTTTGTTGAATCGAAAGAGTTGTAAAAAACTTATGGTTAGGGCGCCTGGGTGGCTCAGTTGGTTAAGCGACTGCCTTCGGCTCAGGTCATGATCCTGGAGTCCCGGGATCGAGTCCCACATCGGGCTCCCTGCTCGGTGGGGGGGGTCTGCTTCTCCTTCTGACCCTCTTCCCTCTCATGCTCTCTGTCTCTCATTCTCTCTCTCTCAAATAAATAAATAAAATCTTAAAAAAAAAAAAAAACTTATGGTTAGTCTGACGGTGGTTTAGGTGTCATCCTCTAGTCTACTCTACTGGCTCCTCAAAAGAGCTTACATGTTTCTAGAATATGGCCCCTCAGTGTTACATTGCCTGGTGGTGTGTGTGTGTGTATGTTGGGGCTGGGGGTTGTCCTAGACACTAGACTA